GCCAGCCAGGCTCCGGGCACCTGGATTACTGCCACTCAAGCCTCAGGAGGCCCCCAACTATGTGTCACTGCTATTTGTCCCTGCAGAAATGCATGTACATGCTCATCTGGATATGCCCTTTAAAAGGAAACACAGTAGAGCCTCTTCCTCCTAGGGGAATCCCATATTTCTATGAAGTAATAACCCATCCTGGGCAATCCCAGTGCATTCCAGGAGCAATTTGAGCAGACTACCAATGCTCTGGAGAAAGAGATGTTAATTACTTTCATAAACTCTTGCTAAGTTCAGTATCCTGTCATGCTGTAGTCATTGCTACTAGCCTGGGCAGTTCACTCTTTATCTGAAGAAGTCCTGGGCTTAACTCCAGGGCTGTCAGCATTGAAAGCAGTAATCCCAGCTACTTGACTTCAAGGAGTAAATCCATATACTGGTAGCAGTGATAGGATCTTGTCACTTGTGGACCAGCCACTGGAGAGTGACATATACCAAAAGTATTGAACCAAAAGATTGGAGTTTTCCATGAAATGGTGGCATTTTTCCTTGAAAAATGATCGTTAGCCAGCCAACATTTCAAGAGTATCTACCGATAATATTACAGCTCTGAGGTGCTGGAGCTCACTCCTGTATCAAATCATGAGTGCAGGTGGTTCCTCTCATTTGTCTCTTAGGTTTTATCCCTTCTCCCTTTTTTGAGCCTTCTGCTGGTGATGGTCTTATTCTGATAAATGGGGAGCTTCTTCTTTACCCATTATTAGTCCTCTTGTACCAAGAGAAAGGACAGTCTTTTGGTGAAGGCACTGCCCACAATAATCTAGGTTCACTTCCAGGGTACAAATGGCCTGCACAACCTTGAGAAGTCACTCAATCAAAGAAGGAGCTGGTATTTTTCCTTTCTGTTACTTCTGTCTGTCTTGGCTACTTAGAGCTTGAACTCTTTGGGGCAGAAATTTTGTGTTACTGCATGTCATTACAGTGTCTGTTGCAGAGAGATCTTGATCTCAGCTGAGGCTTTGGAGTGCTGTTATATAAATAATGAGAAGGAAATACATCTTTAGTCATATGGTACATGTTTCAAGAAGTCTACCGCTTGTGTATGAACAATAATGCTTTTGGTCTTGACAATTTCCAGTTGAAAGGATTCTTTAATATAATTTAAATTTCACAGCTATAGTTCTTTGCTCATTTGGTTCATGAAGCAAATTGAAGTAATATAATTGAATACAACAGAAAAAGACATTTATACTTAACCCTGCTAGCCATCAGTAGACAAAATTCATAATGACTATAAATGCCGTCGTAATGAAAGATAATCAGTATGAAAATGTCATTGCATTTAATTAATTATGGATATTTTGATGATAATGAGCTAATCATTATGAGCTTTCAGGTTTTGCATCACCAACTCAGCATGTTTTAAAAAGAAGTGAAGTGGCACCCAGCAAACCTAAAATGAAACTAGAAGATATATCAG